AACGCTTTCATTTCCTCTTTTTGTCCCATTTGTTGCTGTGGTTTGGTTGTAAATTGGTTTTTGGGTCAGTTGTATGATCGACCGCCTCATAATTACATTCAGGTCAATAATGAAGCAAAGTGGGGTTATTCAAAGAGGCCATCTTGAATCCGTTGTAGATTTATGTTCATAGATTACTTCCTGAAACTTCCATTAAAATCCGTCCAGTGACAATAACAGCTTAAATATCTCACTTGTTTTAACCTGTCTCTGTTGAGCCTCTTTAACATTTTACGCCTTCTACTGCTGCGTGTTTATTATAGTGTTCAGCTCAGACTCACACTTCACTTCACGTTAAATATAGTTCCAGAGTTTAGCTGCGAGACGTTTAGTCTACAGCAGACATCTTTTATTTCGGCCACCTTGATGATGGCAGGCAAAGGCTGTCTCAGGGCGACGAATCCCTGGAGTGTCACGCTGAAGCSCCTCGGTGAAGCAGAGGTGAGAAAACTTAGATTTAAAGGAACATTGCACGGTGCTTTTATCACACCGGAGGTGTATTTTTTAAGTGACGTTTTTACACTGGAGTAGTAATTTCACCACAGTTTCTGCAGCTCTGAGCTCAGGAGCAGGTCACCAGCATTCTTTAAACAAATTAGTTGTGATGATCTGGTCTGTTTTGCATGTTCTGTCCCTGCTGAGCAGCAGGCGAAGCCTTGTGGAAGAAAAGTTTATTTGTACAGCACATTTCATTGATTTCACAAAGTGTTTCACAATAAATAGGAAATATGTACAATAAAAACAATTTGATATGAAACAGTACAGATATACATATGTATAAGGACTAAAGATACATTTTCTGTAAAAACCCAAGCTTACTTGTAAAAGCTAAAAAAGCTAAACACTAGAATAAAGCCAAAAGTAGCCAAATGCTAACTAAAACAGCAGAAATTTAGCTGAAAGCTAAATGTTACAAAAGAATAGCAACAAGTTTAAGAGGCAAAAAAGTAGCTAAATGTACTTAAAAAGTAGTTTAAAAGTACTAAAGGCTGGCTAAAGGTATKAAAAATAACTAAAAATGTGAAATAAAAATCATAGCTAGAAGCTAAAATTGAGAAAAGGCTAGCTGAAAACAATTTTATTATTATTTACCACTATTGAACTAGGGCAAATCCCATTGAGATCACAGATCTGTTTTCGAAGGGCAGCCTGGGTCTGAAGGGAACCTAATTGTACATATATTTAGTAGCAAAATGCCAGTTTAAATGACCTACATATAGCTAAAAACTAAAGTAGTAAAAAGTAGCTAGAAAACATCAAAGCTAGCTAAAACTTAGGTAGGAAAAGTCTAACTGAAAGGAGCAAAAGGGTAGTTAAAAGTAGCAAAATGCACTGTCAGAAGCTAAATTTAAGAAAACTAAGGTATTAGTAGCAAAAGCCAAGATTATGGGACTTACAGCTTTCTAAAAGCTAAAGTAACAAAGGTGTGGCTAGAAAAGGTAATAACTACCTAAAGCTTAGGAATAAAAAGGCTTGCTAAAAGGAGCAAAGGGGTGGTTTAAAAAAACAGTGCAGCTCAAASCTGAAATTAAGTAAAAGCTAACTAAAAGCAATGGTAGCAAAATGCTAGTTAAAAGGACCAAAAGGTAGCTGAAATCTACAGTAGTAAAAGTAGATTTAAAAGTTAAAAACTAGCTAAGGTTTAGGTAGGAAATCTAAATCTAAAACGAGAAAGTGCTAGTTCAAATTTAATAGTAGCAAAAGGCTAACTAAAAGCAAAAGGTAAAGATAATGAAACAGTAGCTAAATGCAAGAAAATGGTAGCTAAAGCATAAAGTAGTAAAAAAGCTAACTTTTAGGAGCAAAAAGCTATCTAAAAGCTCCAACAAGCAAGAATAATAGCTCAAATGTAAAAAGAACAAAGGGCTAGCTAAAAGTTTAAAGTAGCAAGCACTAGGGCTGTGTCCAAAACGGCAGGCCGGGACCTCCGAAGGCTGAATTTGTCAGCCGCATACYTCACAGCGCCGCGACGAAGGCCGACCAAAACCGAAGACTCCTCCGATGCGGCCGAAAAATACGTCCTTTCTTTGGCCCGAATCGAAGGACAGGTCTGATGGATCCTTCCCGGCCCAGCGTATCCCATAATGCATTGCGGCCCGACCGGAGATTTTTTTAAGCTAGTAATGG